ACGAGCATTTTCGATAGAGATCTCAGATTATTGTTGACTGTGTTCGAACGCGAGTGGACATATGAAGGTTCCTTTTCTGTTCTTTTTATGATTCAGTGATTCCCTCCGAGTTTTCAGTGCTAAGTCATATTGTTTCATTATGTTTCACTACCCCTAGCGTTATTGTATTATTTTTTTTATCCTATTGTTCATTTATTAAGTTTAATGTGTGTCAGTTTACCAGAATCTTTATATCGTTGTTGATCATGTACCATAATTTGGGTTTTTCCTGAAAGTGGTTTCACTCTTGATCAATTACTGTGATCAAGATTTAGATATTATTTATTGCATTAATATCATTATCATTATTGTGTTATCCTGTACGACATCGGGTCCGGATCTTAATCAGAATATATATTTATATGAATAAATTTGTTGTTTGTATTATTCAGTAAGGGGAGACATTGTGCAAGGCGGCAATGTAGCCGTTTTTCGTTCAGATTGTGTTGTCTCGATTATTGGAGATACCCGCCAAGAACCCTGAACGGTATTCCTTATAGTCACTCTTTAGCTGAGACTTGCCCATTACCAACCTGGGAGAGTTGTGATCCATGGATAACAGACCAGTAGCCAAGGTTCCACTAGCGAGTCTTTGTGGTGGAGGGGCCCATTTTACCGAAGATACAACCGTTGGACGCTACAGGGTTTTCTTGATGGCAGAGGTGGGATTGGATTATCCCTCATTGTGCAATGTCTCACTTATCGGACTGTAACTTCCTGGATTATGGCCCCTGATTGTACGAAAAATCGCGTTTTTAGCTCGTGGACCCGCAAATTTTTATTTGATTTTAAAAACCGTTCAAATATATCACAGTTGCACCGTAATGACGATTGAGTTCGAATTTCGGGAAAATCAGACCGAAACTGCCCTACAAAATAGACGCGTCCTGTACGCAAATAGTGTAGAAGTATATAATAACAACCCCCTTGAGGTCACAATTTTATGTTTATATCCCAAAGATCTCGGTTCCTTGCAATATTGACACTTCCTGGATTATGTAACCTGATTGTACGAAAAATCATTTTATTTGGCTAGTTCCCTGTTTATCTTTTGCAAAATGTGGGCGTATCTTGCATTGTAATCGCTTGCTCACAATATTGTAGCTTGCAAATGATTCTTAATGCTTAAAATGACGCATCGAGACTTTAATATAAGAGACAGAATCACTTAAATAGTATGACTACCAATTAATTAATTAATTATGGTACAAAGGCTGGGAGAAGATAGGGTCTGATGCACAAAAGACGGATAATTAATGATGTATGAGCATTCGGTAATATTATGATTGCCTTAAAACATTACCTAATTGATGCCTCAAAAAGAAAAGATCGAGTTATAAGATCGAATTTTCGGTCCTGGTAATATGTTTTGAATTATGCCCCTTTAGCCGAATTGTCCACACTTCTTGTCAGTACTTTTTTTTATTTTTCGTAATGCTTAGAAACTTTCTGGAAACTTGTATTAAGATGGGCTGAGGATCTCTATTTCTATTCGCGTTGGATCATAAAGTATCGCATTGAGGCAAGTGGCGATTTCCCGCTTGTACGTGACAGGAAGTAGGTTCGCCTGGTCAACCTGAATGGTTTTGTTTCAGGGCCAACTTAACTTTTAAGATACAAACTTGCATTTCATGATAATTACATCAATAAAGATACCAGCTTGATTTTTCAAGCACTTGAATGTTCAAAATACCAACTTGTATGTTCAAATTACCATCTTGAGTGTTCAAATTACCAACTTGAATGTTCAAATTACCAACTTGAATGTTCAAATTACCAACTTGAATGTTTGAATTACCAACTTGAATGTTCAAATTACCAACTTGAATGTTCAAATTACCAACTTGAATGTTCAAATTACAAACTTGAATGTTCAAAATACCAATTTAAATATAATTTTCAAACTTGAGATTTCACGTTACTGACTTGAGATTTCAAGATACAATCTCGTATTTTCAAGATAGTCAGTTTTATCCAACCATTTACCTTCAATCAAAGGACAATTATCACATGTTAACTGTTTTTTAGAAGTCAAGTTGGAAATTCATGGTAGTGTCTTAAAAAATTGAAGTTAGTGTCATTGAAATTAAAGTGAGTGCCTTGGAAATTCATGGTAGTAACTTGAAAATTCAAGTTAGTAACAACATGGAAACAATTACAATAATTCATGAAATGAGGATCTATATTGGGGTTATCATGATTCCAGCAATACAGAGTTTGTGCGCCCTCCCTCAATTTTCTGCTTCCGAACATCTCACCTCCCTACACACCCACCCTCCCTGCTCCCTGCCCTCCATTTCAGCCCACTGTCAAATGAACTTTATAACTCCTTGTAATAATATACCTTAGGGTAAATAGAGTTAAAATGCTCCCTCTCCCACCTGCCCCTACAACGATTTCTCTTTCTTCTCCTGCTCGACTCTTTTTAAACCCATTACAAAACGGGTGATGACGATGATTTATGTTGCTGTTAGAATGAAATTTTGAGATCCTTTGTTTGAGATCCGGATTCCCAGCTTCAAATTGAACATTTTCCCCGTATGTAATAGTGTGCGAGGCCTTGATTGTTCACACACAGACTGAAAGACCTTGCAGTTAGATTGGTTTAGCAAATTATAATATTAAGTGGCTAAATCAATATAAAAAAAATATTTTATCAATAGGCAGCTTCGGGTGGTCAAAATACAGGGGGCACTCAATTTGTATTATTGATATACACATGTAACGTCCTCGAATGTGAGTGTATATATACTCGGTTTTTGAAGTTCACCGTACACAAGTCCTCATTTGTCGGTATTAAAACATAATGTGCGTCCTTGGTTGATGACATTAATGCATGACTGTTCTATCATGATACTGAATCGTGCATCAATTTTAAACGGTTAGATTTTCTTTTTTCCCCATGTGTGGTCAAAGTCGGGACAACAGCGTAGTTATTTACAGGTTAAAGATCACAATAAGTGTCGTGTCCACAGTATGACAGTATAGAACAGATGACCTTGTTGCGCGGCGTTCCCGACATGCACCATGTGTGTCCTCGATTAGGCTTTACTAGCAAAGGGTCTTTATGTTTGCTTCACATGTTATATAAACTATTATTTAGACATTGATTCGCATGGCAGACCTAAATTCAACTCGCTGGGGCATCAGATGACTGAGATTTAAATGGATTAAAACACCCGCGAGATTTTTAAATTTAACGATAAAATGGATGATCGATTGTCAAATACCGTGGGTACCGATGGCTGAGATTTAAATGGATTAAAACATCCGCGAGATTTTAAAATTTAACGATAAAATGAATGATCGAGGCACAACCTCGTTTGTCAAGTACCGTTGATACGATAATAAACAATATACGCTACAGTCATAACGTCGCTCACAATAAAGTAATTTGACTGAAATTTTCAATTCATTTTCCATATATATGTACATGTATATTCTTAAACTATTATATTGCACGAACGGTCGGCTTACATAAGGGATCTTTGAACAAAATTGATTGATAAATTAAAGCAGGCTTACGAATGTAATATCTGAACCAAAATAGAAATTTATCAATAATTTTGTCAATAAATGAAAGAGCTTGTCAATGATTAAATCATATACGAATGTTGCATATGTCATATCAAATCTTTTTAATAACAAAATCACCGTGCTCGCAATCTATACATGTAGAACGATGTCTGTTATTTAAAGTAAATGCTCATTAAAATAAAGCACTAAAGTGTCTATATATACTTGGCGGCGAGAGAGAAGAGAGAGGGTGAGTGAGAGAGGTCAACGCCCAACATTTCGAGACTAACATATGGTTTGATTTTATTTCAATAATTCGCTTGCACGTTGGGGTCATTGTCAGTGAACGGAAGCCGAAGAACCCACAGAAAGGCAACGAAGTAGGACAGGCGATCCTACTCCTTTTCACATACTTGTAATATGGGTATCGAAACCACGCCACTTTAGTAAATGCCAGACTTTTGATCTGTAGCGCACGACTTAGACACCCCCCCCCACCCCAACAGGGCACAGAAAGAGTAAGCATACCCTGCGCCATAGAAGACATCCTTGCGTTTCCATGGGTCGTTTTATGGACATTTACTTGTAATCAAATAACGCTCACATTTGAGACTGAATTCCGACTGAAATTGCAGATTGGTCAATATGAAAACTGCATTTCAGACTGAATTACGACTGAAATACAGCTTCTGGCTTAGTATTGGATAGAATCACATACGTAGATGAGTACTGACGTGAACCATACATGTAAGTTTGTACTCGATCGAATCACATACATAGATGAGTACTAGATTGAATCACATACATAGATTAGTACTGCATTGAATCGAGTCAGTAGATTAGTACTGGATTGAATCACGTAGCTTAGTACTGGATTGAATCACTTACATAGATTAGTATTGAACCGAATCACGTAGATTAGTACTGGATTGAATCACGTACATAGATTAGTACTGGATGGAATCACGTACATAGATTAGTACTGGATTTAATCACTTACATAGATTAGTATTGGATTGAATCACGTAGATTAGTATTGGATTGAATCACGTACATAGATGAGTACTGGATTGAATCGATTAGTATTAGAAAGAATTGCGCATGTAGATAAGTATTGTATTTAACTTTTATTCTGCATTTTTGGACTTTAAACTCTATATTCAACATATATATTCTGGCATGTTGGGGCTTTAAACTCTATAGTTAACATTTATTATGGCATGCTGAGACTTTAATCTCTATATTTAACATATATTCTGGCATGCTGGGGCTTTAATGAAACTATGTCTAAGTTTGGACACAACTGTCTTTTTGCATGTACATGTTTGCGTCAGAAAAAAATAAAAAATAAACACGCCCTGTGTCATTTTATGTCATAAACAACTCAACCACTTTTAGAATTTGACCAGCTGTTGTCTTCGGAAAGATATAAAATATGACGGAATCTTGCATCAGCATTTTAGCTCCGGACGTAAAAAGGTATGGCAAATTTAATACTTTAGTTCCATTACAGGCAGACTTGTTGTATAATGACTTCATGTCCTCTGTCGTTTTCTAGGCTGTGCATGGGCCAATATGGAGGGAGGGGGGGGGGGCTGGTGGCTCGGTGGGTAATGCACCAGGTTGTCAACTCGATGCATGGCAAATTTTATACTGTAGTTTCATTACTGTAGTCAACGCCGGTTGACTCAATGACAGACTTTATGATACAGCGCGCGCACGCTAACCATTCAGCCATCCAACCCCCCATTTTTAGTTAAAATCTCGAGTATCCGATGCCATCGAGAGTCGAAAATAAAAGTCTAATTAATAGTTTATATAACATCTCAGGCCTAAAGAAAGACCTGCATTAGGCAGATTTAGCTTTTGCACAGTGTATGTTTAACTAATGTATCTTTAAAGATTAAACTTCCATAATGGTCGTTTTGACTAAACGTTATTTCAGTTTGATGTAAGCTTTAAATTCACCTTTTTAAAAAGATAAAATGGGATCGATTCTCGTTATTCATATTAAAAATGGACGCCCATGGCGTAAAACATCTTTTAATGTAATTGAAAGGTTGATAACCAGAATCGTGCAGCAGTGTATTGACAGGAATAAGAGATGTACAAGATATTACTGCTCTCGTGTTTATATGGAGTGGTTCTAAGTGACATACCAGGTTAGTTTCATTTTCACCATGGTAAATTACTAACGCGTGTCCATGGGGTCTCTGAATGCCCCCCCCCCCCACACACACACACAACTGGCTTGCTAATCAGGAAAGTGTCAAGTCGTTCGAATGTGACAAAAAATCGGGCTCCCGTGTACAACGTAAAAGATACCCTGACGGTTGGAGTTCGATATAAGAGTAGGCCGTAGTGCTGTTCATAGGCGTACGGGGAAATTTTTTACTGGGGGGCGGTGGTGGTTGGTGCCCCAAAAATGTAGTTAGGTTCTTAGTATGTTACATAGGCTAATAATAATAATAATATCTCTTTTGCGATGAATAAGTTCTTAATTTCTAAATCATCAATAAAAGGGAACTAAATTTTATTTACTTGTAATATACACAACTAAAAACAGTTGTTTATGTAACTGTAATCCGTGGCTTACTGTACTCCAAACAATAGAGGGTTCGAGTCGTTAAGATTTCTATTTAATTGCCTAACTATAGACACTCTGAATTTAAATTCGCTGTTAAATTGGACACATTCAAGAACACAATATTTTTTTATACAACTTTTACAAAGTACAATTGTGTGCCCAAATTTTCCCAGCATTTGGTGCCCAAAATGGGGGGGGGGGGGCGGCCGCCCCCAGCCCCCCCCCCCCCCCAGCTCGTACGCCTATGAATACCTCACCTCACTGTTTAATCCTATTTCCTCGGGTGATCCTCCAGACCTCACGTCAAACCCGACGTTGTCTCCAACGGGTGGACCAAAATAGGGAAGTCCCGTATACATTGGCCTGCACGTGAAATATGACAGTTGAATTTCGATATAAGACTAGACCGCTAACCGGCAAAATTTTCTCGGACATATATGACGTATGCCCGTCTTCATCAGCCCAGTCAGTGCAGAACAGTAGGGCGTTAAAGTCCGTTTCATTTCAAATTTTGAACAACAGACGTTGTCTCCGTGTAGTTGAGTCTGTAATTTGATTGTTCCTGACCACCAGAAATATACTTTCAGATAACAAGTATTGCATATCGAATGACCGTTCTGGATATGCGCAAATAAACATAATATGTATAAGATGGGGTGGTCTATGGGGGGGGGGGGATCTAACGCATGCGCTTTAGATCATAAGATGAGTCAAGTGGCGTGGTTTTGATTCCCAGCTTGCACGTGACAAGGATTATAGTTGTCTGCCCACGTAGGTAAATCCGGCCCTGTATATCATTATGACAAAATTTGTATTTAATTCTAATGTTACATCGTCTTCAATATCCAATTTTCATTTCTGTATCTATATTTTTAGATTGTTATGTTAGTGGTTATGGTTGGATACCCCAGTTCACATTTGTGCCTTTGGATCAAATGAGCTGTACAGGTTACTTATGTTCTTTTAATGAGTTCTACGAGCAGGCAGCGTTTATTTACCGGGGTAAGTAACGAATAACATAATAAATTGTTATACGTTAAAACCCCAATAAAGGTTACCAATTTGAGGGTTCGTTTTGCCAAATGCCAAAAATCGGAAATATGCGTCCTGGTTTACTTGAACGAAATAAAATGCATTCTATCTACTTAAAAAGATACATTAGTTAAGAGTTTAATAAAGGGTTGGTCATTCTTGCTATAATAATTCAAAAATAGATGATAAAAAAAGAAAATATTGAAAACTTCATTCAAACTACTTCATTCTCAGCCAAGTTATCATTGTTTGTAGTTTTGACCAGTGGTTACCACTGTGGTAACCCGCTAGGGCACTGGTATAATCGGGACTTAGCCCCGCTTTCCCATTTTTAAATGGCGAGCTGTTTTAATCTAGTTAAAACCTCGAGTATCCGATGCCATCGAGGGTCGATTATGGTCTTGTTTTGTTAATAAATGTCTAATTAATAGTTTCTATTATAACATTCCTGGCCTAAAGAAAGACCTGCAATAGACAGATTTAGCTCTTGCATAATGTATGTTTAATAAGACTAAACAGGTCAAGATAGTCGAAATAAATATGAAATCAGCAATAAATTTCAAGAATAAATTTCAGTTTATTTTTTTACTTTGAAATAAAAAAAGTCTAACTGAACCCTATTGTAATTCTTTATTCTTGAGGAACGTAGATGGTAAATATATACTCTCGTGCAAAATGAATTTGATGAGAAATATTTCCTGATTTTATATATTATTTTATTTTGTATTAGCGTATAATACCTGGGCTTATATAGACAAACTTTACTGTGCGGCGTTGTTTCGAGCCCACACTTTTATGTGGCAAGGCCTTCCAATCTCGTGGGTTTTTTTTTCCGGATCTGCCAGTTTCCTCCCACAACTAGACTCATACGCTACAGCGATTTAATGAAGGTTAATTGATCCCTATGTTATTCGCGAAGCAACCCAGTTTGTATCGAGCGGACTTTAACCCACCCCCCCCCCCGCCTCTCCCTCTCTCTTTCTCTCTCTCGCGCTTTTCATCTCTTATTTGCTGTTGCCTATGTTTCAGGATGTGTCTATGAAGGAGCTTGTTTGAAATTTGAGAGTGACATATTTGACGATAACGGTACTATTATAGCTAAATGTACTGCTGATAATATTCGTTGGATGGATTCTGTTTTTTATGGCCTACCGCCGGGACATACTGGAGCAAACCGATATTCATTACAGGAACCTAAGATTGTAATAAAACATCTTTAGGTTAAATTGTTCAGAATTTATTAATTTCAAAAGTATGGAAATGTCTTACTACGACCATAAGTTATGGATCATGGTTATGGTAAAATGACGCTCAATTGTATCAATAAATTATCACATGGGGTCTTAATCTGCCGGCAAAACTTTGGAGGCAGACCATCATTAAATTTCATTATCTCGGTAGCCAATTGTACTTCGTCTACTTATAACTCCGCCAAACGAAAATTTGGGGAAAGGATCGAGCCGGGCAAATAGACAGAATTAACATTGAAGTCAATGGAGGAAATTAATGGTGGTCTGCATCCCTTTAATTCCAGCACATTACTTCCCGTATACCCAACATAACTTGGGAACCCTGGCAGTGCGCGTTAATTCACATTTACAGCGTTAAGAATTTACTCAAAATTTTTCGCCTTATTTTAACTACAATATAGCCCTTTATAAATCTTGTTGTTTTATTGTTTTAATGTACCAAATACATCAATAAGAAACAATGTGCTAAGTTGAATAAATTCTTAACTTAAGTCCGAGAATGCTTTGTGAACTCGGGGCCAGATATGTTCCGACACAACTCCTCGGGTAGTTCTTGTTGGAACGGTCTCTGAGCGGGCGAAGTCCTCTGACCTTCCTATTAACTTAAAGGAATATGAAATTAATGAGAATTGTCAGTATAAACACGACTCGGGGAACTTGTAGAAGATGGTGGCTGATCATAGGCGTGTTTGAGGGTAGGCAGACCAAACTTCGCGCCTACTTCGCTCAATTCCATTATGCTATAATTCTTCCACTCCACTGTCTTATACTGTCCGATCACTATCATATTCACGTTCACAGAGAATCGCCCAATTGGTAGTGGGCTACCACTTGTGAGAGGTTCGAGTGAGGTGACAGACTGTACAAATGTTAACCATATCGACTCTCACAAAATAGGCGGAATTGACACCCAGGCCTCGAAATCCTCTCGTTCACGAGATTTCGCTTCCATTTGCCATGACATTGACGAAAATTTTCAGGTCCAGTCCCAAGCAATTAAAAGCTCAAATCCATACTATACGTTTCTATCTGAATTTTTTTCGCGCCTATACGGCACTCGATTCCATTATGGCACCATTCTTCCACTCTTCTGTGTTCTTATACTATCTCAGTCAAGTTAATAGTACGGCTAGTGCGTTTGTTGTGGGGCGACAGACTGGAAGTTCTGCCAACCCTTACAAAACAGGCGATATTGACAGGCAGATCTCGAGATTATGTCCAATTAACGACGATTTCTGGTCCCTGCGCTTCAGATATATGAAGGTTACTTTTTGAGTTCTTTTATGATTCAGTGATTCCCTCCGAGTGTTAGGTGCTAAGTTATATTATTCAACCAGCATGCAGGCAGAGAGACGGAACAAATATGAAAATTCCGAGTAAAAATCTTCAAACATAATTATTAAATTCCAGTCTTTATCATGGTTAAAATCACATCAAATATACTCCTTCGTGTTCTATAGGATACGCATAGATTCATAAAAGCGCTATGGCAAAGTATTTTAGCGTCTAAAAGTAGCAAAAAAAAAAGAAAAAAAAAAGTTAAAAGTCAACGATATTATTGCTGGAAAGTCAATGTCATTATGACTTTTTGCTAAGGATATTCTTCGACTGACAGCCTACTATAATAATGCCATCGTTAAACAGATAACGAAGCCAACACCCCCGTTAAATATAACGGCAAGTTAACAACATGTTAAAGTTAACGGGGCTTCCAGCAACAGACTTTCTCTCCGTTAAAGATAACGATCCGTTAACTCCATATTAACGAGTCGTTAAAAGTTAACAGGGCTTTGAACAAACGGCCCCAGGAATTTACTCTTGCCAAAAGGCTCTTTAACATGTTAAAGTTAACGGGGCTTGCAGCAACAGGCTTTCTCTCTGTTATTTAACGATCCGTTAACTCCATGTTAACGAGTCGTTAAAAGTTAACGGATCAGCTTTCGAACAACCAGCCCCAGGAATTTACGCTTGCCAAAAGTCTCTATTGTATCTGCCTCAATACTTACATTATAGGCTAGTACTGGCGACGTACAAAGAAAGACATTTTGAACATGTCTGAACAGATGAAATAAACTTTTTATTCAAATTAAGTAAGTCAGTTTGCAACCCAAATTAAGATAACAGCGGTACGTAAAATTTCTCATTTTGAAAAAAAAAAGCATAATTGGTTGCCCCCTTTAAGTGGATGCCCGGGATCGTACTTGCCCCCCCCCCACCACTCTCTCTCTCTCTCTCTCTCTCTCTCTCTAGTCTCTCTCAGCGAAGTACAGAGAGAGAGAGAGAGAGAGAGAGAGAGAGTTTAACTGGGTCGTCTCGGGACTAACATGGTTCAATAATTCGCTTGCGCGTATAGGGGTCTTTAGTGGGAGGAAGCCGTAGCAGTACCAAAAAAAAACAAACAAAAAACAAACAAACAAAAAAACCACAACAAAAATCAAAAACAGAACAGCGATAACAATTAATATTCTTTAAAATGCAGTTAATAGAAACGAGTATATTATTATATGACGTTTGAAAATATAGGAAATTAATCATTCCTGATATGAATTCCAGAGGTGCAGCTTATAATTATGTTCTAAAGAACGCTGCCTAAAGCTAGCCGTTCGTTTAATAGGAACAGTTACAAATCAATGTTAAACAGACGAAAAGTTATGGAAGAAGGGCGTACAGTTTTACACGTAGACTTATCTGACGCTCTTTAGGGCACGTGCTAGTGTTGTTGTTATTGCAGATTAGGCTTTACTTCATTGGATATTATTATCACCTCTCATTGGTCAGTATAAATAGACATGACATAATCTCGACTATGCAGAGCTGAATTATGTTTACTTTATTCCAAGTTTTGATGCATTGTCACTCATGCTGCCGTTTTAGATATTAAATCTTGAAGATTTTCCATTGTATTTATTTAGTGCTTATCAGAAATTTTAATTTGAATGAATTTTGATAAATATCGAATACGAAACTTATTATAAAACTAGCTTCAAATAGTTAAATGTAGGTCATGTTGTCATTTTGTGAATTTCGTCAGTTGACAGTTCGAGTAGAATTATTCATGTAGAAGGGGCATTGCCGAAGGTGGTAGGTAAAACTTTTATCGTGCTTTTATTTATCTAAACATTCTTTTGCAAAAATGCAACAAAATTGCCAGGTTGCCATGGTTATAAGAAGATGCTATGCCAGAAGTAAACGACGGAGTAAAATTAATATCGACCCGTCACGAGGAAATAATATTATTGTGCGATTTCTCGCAAATGTTGCCTTTTTGGTATATTGTTTTTATCGACCGAGCATTAAGAAGTGCAGATTTATTTTGTGCAAAAAATCAATTTCCATATGTTATTGTCAGTCATTCTTGTTTAAATGCAATCGTCACTTCTAATTTACTATAAACTCCCGAGTGCCAGGGTTATATGTCGTGAATTTTTTTTTCTTCTTTTTTTCTTGGTGACTGCACTAAGCTATAAGGAAGGCTACCTCATTTCTTAACCCACTTCTGTGTATGGGGCTAAAGGTGGGTACCATTTTAGTTGTATCTGACATAGGAAGCAACGGTAGCTAAGTGAGTAAGGCATCAGGTTTTTCTGGCGTGGTTTCCCCTTATTAGTGTTGCAGGATGAGGATGAGTGCCTGACAAGGACAGCTGTCTAGTCATTTCGATGGGACAAAAAACCAAGGTCCAATAAAGTATTTACACCTTGGCATGCATGTAAAAGATGCCTTTGCAGTTGGAATTTGATATAAGAATAGGTCCATGCGTAGCACTGCTGTCCAGGCAAAGTTTCCTTCATGTTGCTCTAGGTACCGAGAGAGGTCAGTAACGTGACACAAACATGACCTCTTTTGATCGATTTTTATCATTTATTAGCAAATATTGACAATAAAGTAAATCAAGCGTTGTTTTTATCAAAATTGAATCGGACGTTCATAATTACGGTGTATTACAACTGCACAACTCTGATCAGATAAGAACTTTGATTGGCTATTGCACACGAGACCCCGCCTTTATGTGTTACAGGCGTAAATTTAAAATGTCAGAAAAAGCAATCTACTGTCGCTTTGATTTAAAAAGAGGGGATTTGTACCCGTTTCAGGTAGGATTATATGCTTAATTGTAGTTGGGTGTGACAGAATTATAAATAACAATAATCAATTAAAAATATTGTCAATTTTGTTTACAAATGCCGGGTGAGAATCGCTCCCGCATGTGCTATGTTGAAGTTAGCGGCACCATTTCTTATCTCGAAACACGGAGGGTTGAGAGATAAAGGTTTGTTATCTAGGTATTCCTTGGCAATGTTTTGAGAAGGATTTGAAGCAAAATTATGATAAATTAATTAGTTTGAATATGTTTTTAGCCCAAATATATCATCAAATCACCCAGTTTGTATGCGGGAATGTATCTTTGAGCCCCATTTTATTTCATTTCTATATGACCTAGCCCTCCTGAATTGGCTCAGTGTCGACTCACTAACCTGGAGCAGGTGTTGGCCAAAAAAGTTCCCCTTGTCAGTGATGCAGCTAGGACAGAGGGCCTGACAAGGAATTGCGTCTAGTTGTTTGGAAGAGAACCCTTGTTAGTTGGAGTTCAATTGCTGCCCGTCTTCGTTTGGCCTGTTGGAGCAGAAAAGCATTAGGTTGATAAGACCAAATTCCGTTCATTATATTTAATTCCTTCATAAATCTCATGCAAAGGTATTAACTCAGTATAAACAAACCAGTGCAACATAATTATTAAGTCTTGGGTAAAATCTTTAGATGGGTCTTTCATCCAATCTGTTTAAATGGAAGCTGAGAGATACCTTCGACAGTTTTATTTTCTTTACTATTTAAAGATGCTAAAGCGCTAATATTTGGGACCTAGAAATTGACACAAATGGGTTGTTGCAAAGATATAATAATGTAATATGAATGTATATAAACTGTTATACATTTAATCGTTTCCGTTTTTACTCTAATTTCAAATCAGTTATGTTTGGCGAAATAAGCCAGAAGTCTCAATCAAATGACGATCTCTAGCATCTGGTTATTCCAGTCTACATAGTATTTATTGCGCATGCTCTCCAGATAAGAATATGGCGGACTGTTTGACATGACTTGTGAAATATATAAGCCTAGCTCGTTCTTTGAGTCCCTTGGTTAAAATGGGCCTGAAACGCATTATGGTACACGATTCGTGTACCAATGATAAAATGTTTATTTTGTCTTAAATATTGGATATCAGAAGCCCACCTTTTGCTGGTAAGACCACAACATCAATGTTGATTTAAATTGACAAATAAATCGTGTTTTCAATGTCAAAGACTTTGGATGATATTGAGTTAGGGACTTAGCTACTTTAAATGTTAAATTAGTCAGCTTGAGTATATTTTGAGATGGATTAAGTCGTGAAAAAAATTAAATATTGTAAGAAAAATGCATAGTCTGTACTATCAGTGACCTCAATAATAACCAATTTGGCAATGGAAGAAAAATGTTGCAATATTTTGAATTCGTCAAACACTATATTTTTAACCAGGAACTGGGCCCCAACATCTACTGCACTGGGAGCCACGGTGGCTCAGTTAATAAGTCGTTGGCTTGAGGTCCTGTGTTATCAGGTTTTTCCAATCTGGTTCTCACTTGTCAGTAGTGCAGGACAGAGAGCCTGGCAAGAGACAACGTATAGTCTTTTGGAAGGGACAAAAACATCCCTTGGCAGTTGGAGTTCGATATAAGACTAGGCCGTAGCACCGCTACCTGGCAAAATGTCCCTCATCGCACACTGTATGCCATCTTCAATAGAATGCTTGATCTCGCTTTAACTGAGTACATCTTATGAAGGCCTTCCCGTAATACCCTGCATATTTCGGCACTCACCCAGCTTGAGAGTCCATCAGATTCCTCGATTATCGCGAATACCAAGTCTCACGCTTTCCAGCTAAAATGTCTACCTGTGATAATTGAGTTGCAAAGTTCAAGGTTTGTTCAATGTCAAGATTTCTGTGGAGGTCGCAATATTTGATTTGAGTGTGTTAGTGTTACAACTTCTGATTGGACGCTACCCTCCACATCTCTGCAGTAAAGGGAGAAAACGTAGCTATACATGTAAGTTGGGGAATTACAAAGTAATCTAGCAGCGTCCAGATGTTGTAAAACTTGCAGTCGTTGCTTCAGGAATATGAATGTATGCATGCCTGTCTTCATTACCCCAGTTGCAGCAGAACAATAGGGTGTTAAACCCCATTTGATTTCTACTGCACTGATGTTGTTTGTTCTTGGGGACGAAACTCTTCGGAAACACCCCAGGGCTCTTCCAATTCAAGTGTGATCAACATGAACCTGTGCTTGCTTATTCCTTGTTGAATTTGATGGTCTGCAAATTTTGATGTCTGTCATTGAGCCTAGTGGCGTGGTTTCATTTCCCCGCTTCTAGGTTACAAGAACTAAGATTGCCTGTCCAAGTTTGTGGGTTTTCTCCGGGTCCTCTGGTTTCCTCCCTCTGGTAAAGAATTCTATGCATAAGTGAAATGTTGAAATAAAATTGAACCGTATGTTAGACCCGAAATTAACTAGTTTGTGTGAGGGGAGGTTAATTCTCTCGCTCTATCTCTCTCTCTCTCTCTGAAGTCCATCATTCAAGCAATTCAAGTCTGACTTGAAAGTTAAACATAACTACCATAGTAATATCTTTATCAATCATAATCAAAATGTGACAAGAACAACTGCATACCCCACAGATAGCTAATGTGTAAATAGGTATACAAATGCATTGTTTTATTGTTTATTCACCTATTTCTTATTCATTCTTGTATTTAGGTCATAGGCTACATTTGTATGTCTGTTCCTCAATCCCTTTCAATTTTTGAATAAGATATTTGTTTAAAAAAAAATAATCATATTATTAGACACCACATGTAATACATGTACAGTAGTTAGTGTATAATGCGCCATGGGCATGTTTTGTGGATAGAGTGCTTTATAAATGGACATACATGTATTATTATAATTAATTAGAGACAGGATATTTACATATACATCACGGTGACTTATTAAAATGATTAATGGCCTAATCATTATAGACAGTGAAACCTCTCCATTCAGGTAGTGGCTAGACATCTTAGATAATTGACTCATGACCAGGATAACATTCTTTGAAGGATATGTGTGATTTAATGGTCTTATTTTTCTTGTCCAGCTTAATGTCTACTTCCACCTTGGGTTTAATGATCCAGAGGGAAACATTAAAGATGCATTATATGTCCATGTATGTAGCAGCACACTGATCAGCAGTGAATTTTCGCTAGGCCGCGACAATCACTGATAAGGATGACATCGATGCGACTTTATGAGTCCCAAATATTAACTTTTTTCTTCCGTCAAATTAAATTCTAAAACATTTTTTTCATTTATTAGAAAAATAAATAAAGAGGTTTGAATTATTTGTAGGTAAAAATCATTTCCTATTTAGTGTAAATGTGCATTAAAATAAGTAAAATTCACCATTTAGCCAGAATCAGTAACATTTTATGTAAACAATGCATGCGTTATTGAGCCAATGATTGATGCCACGTGATGTGACGTCACGTGTTGAAACAGTCATCTGTTACAGAGATATTAGGAGATATCTGTGAAACAGATCGGTATGTAAGATTTAGATAAATAGCTGGACGGTCTTGCTCTAATAGTTCAAGAATAGGTATTGAAAATTTCATTCAAATTACTTTATTCTGAGTGAAGTTAGGACTGTTTAAAAAAATATATTGTAGATAGTTCATTATCATGACCATGGTACATGTACTTGACAACCAAGACTAAGTCTTAATTTTCCATTTTATTGTTAGATTTTTAATTCTCACCGAAGTATAAATCTACTTAAATCTCGGCCAAACGATGCTCTAGAGAGCTGATTATATTTTTATTTTGTGAATAAATGTCAAAATAATAATTTCTATAACATTTGAAGCCAAATTTAGCTCCACCTAATTCATGTTTAACATCTGCTTCCACCTACATGTAGAGTTTCATGACCAAGAGTGAGACATTACAACATATGATACTGCATGATGGAGTTAGCCTGAGTGTTGTATCAATATATTACTCACGGTCGTTAAATAACTAAAATACAGGCACTATCCCACATGTGCATTTCAATGAAATCGTCATGCAAGTCCAATATTTCATCTAGTAATATAAATAATGTACTTGCACATTGCCCTGTACATTATGTGAAATAATGGTATGCCAACATTAGAGATTGACCTCACATGCCTGTATTTTAAATTCAGATAGACTACAGTAATTAATGCATGACTCACAAAATTTTGACATAGCAAGACTTGATCACTTTGTGTAATCTGTTTGAATTTTATATGCATTGTTCATATAGTGAAACAAAGAAGTCCATTGATTTTAATTACTTCTTGACAAACATTATCCCCCGGTTTGCTGGAAATTTATATTCATTGTTCAAAACTAGTGAAGCGAATTGGCTTATTAATTTTGAAAAATTTATGTAAATTACGTTTATTGTAATGGATCGTTCACTTCGTAAAGGCACCGTCCTTATTTCACAAAAATGTATATTGGTATGTACGATTTACATGCTCAAATGATATTTACATATATTGTAAAACAGCTTCCTGGACTTCTAACAATTATAAGAAATGTAATGACTTCTGTTGGTTACAAATCAGTTGACGCCTTTCATTTCATGAATATTTCTTCTGCCAAAAAGTCTGGCAGAGTTTGCGTTCAGCAGTCATGGAAGTAACGGTTTTAGATGTAGGCCTACCTGACAAAAGTGATCACCCGATCTGCTTGAACTATATGTTCAATTTAGTGAAGTGGAGAAGGCTATGGAATTAGAACAGATTTCATTTGGCCACAGATCACTAAACATTTGCCCATTGACTTTAATGTTAATTCTCGTCTATTAGACCGGCTCTAACTTTTTCCCAAATTTTTGTTGGGTAGAACGCTTTCTACCACAGATGGAGCAACATGTGGCAACCTCTTGCCCAAAAGCATGTATGAGGTTCACCATGGAAAACTTGAGATACACAAGCTGGAAGTAAAGACAAGAAAACATGCAATTTCGGACCCTACATTTCAACCTAACCAACCTCTCAACTCTTGTATCCTTCCGCCTCAAAATCATGAATATTCACCAAAACCTGGTAGAAAATGTATTTTCAAACCCTTTTCTTTGATTCTACACCAGAAAGTCAACAAAAATCGCCATGCAAAAGGGGGAAAAAGGCAAAGGGAGAGAAAGACTAAAAATAACTTTTGCCCTACATTCGTGGGTGACGGCGTAGAAATATTTGGTGAGCTGTGTCCATTTATTAATTCTAGTAGTGCTAGAGTTATGGCCCTTGTTCACTTTGTAAAATAATATCTACATGGTATGTACCATTGATATTGTGTTAAATGATCAAATTGAATATACATGTATAGTACATTTTAGAAGGATTTATCTATGGAAAAATGCAATTTATGACCAGCAGCTTTGTCCGATCAGTGAATGTTAGACTTATGAGGATCAGCAGCGTAAATGAAATGCCCACATCCAAATTCCCATCAGACCATTGAGTGGTAGACTTATGAGGATCAGGAGTCTTATTCATGAATACTTAACTGAAATATTGTAAGGATGCAGCGTTTCCATTGGTTGATGGTTAAAATTTTAGTACATATATTAGCTCTTAGCCAATAAAATGGCTGCATTCTTTAGTTTAAATTTTGTGAATATGGCTACTGACCAATATGTACATGTAGACACTCCTAAAATGACAAAAAAATTTGTTAATTTTTCAGGCATTATAAAGAAAGATGTCTGATAAATCGAGTGATTTAGAAGAAGATTGGGCAATTGTTGATAAAGATGGGGAGTTAGAGGTAAGATTTGGGGCTATCATTAATAAAGATGGGGAGTTAGAGGTAAGATTGAGGCTATTGTTGATAAAGATGGGAGTTAGAGGTAAGATTTGGGGCTATAGTTGATAAAGATGGGCAGTTAGAGGTAAGATTGGGGGCTATTGTTGATAAAGGTGGGCAGTTAGAGGTAAGATTGGGGGCTATTGTTGATAAAGGTGGGCAGTTAGAGGTAAGATTGGGGGCTATTGTTGATAAAGATGGGCAGTTAGAGGTAAGATTGGGGGCTATAGTTGATAAAGATGGGCAGTTAGAGGTAAGATTGGGGAGTTAGAGGAACATGTAAGAAGGCTGCCATTAAGAGTTGTGGGGGGCAGCCTCACTGTTGGCTTGTTCTGCATGTAGGGGTGATGATTTTCCGTGATCGCGGAAAAAACGCGGAAATCGCGGAATTGTCCACTCAAAACGGAATTTGAAATCTCACACGGAAAAAGACGGAAAAGCCGATATTTGCTGATACTAAACACAAACTCAAAATAATTTTGCAGTTATCCAAGTATTTCATCTTTTTATTCATAAAAATCGGAAATATTGAATGATATCGCGTGGTTTTGTTACTGTCTATTTTAGTATTTCGCTACTTTCATTTCATCATTTAGGAATCATAATTTTAATCGAAACGAAAACCCGTCTTTCATGTATCCCATTATAAAATTACTCTGTAGTTTAACTTGAATTAAACATTGTAATGTATATATATGTCTTTAAAAAAACTTCTGTCACTTCATAAAAGTAAAAATCTTTCATTTACTTCTTATTTTACTGCCGGGCTCGTGACTCGTGTTTATCCGCATTAACCACGTGACATCAGAAATATACCGTAGCCTTGTGAATCCAGCCCTTATTCTCGAAGAAACGGTAGTAACTACGAAGATGTCTGGATAAATCGCGACTACACCTAGCATCTGAGAAAAATGGCTTCGTCTGCTAAAAAGATGAAACGAGCTCACAAGATGTAATTTTCTGTTATTTAATTCGGGAAACAGGTTTAAAGAATAACTAGTCATTGAACATTACAAGTCATTCACAATTCAACATTTGTTATCATTGGTTTAAAATGATCCGTTTTGTAATAAAAGGCATTTTAAGATGTTTTATTCATTTATTCATAAAATAACATTTTATCTCGAAAAAACGGAATATGGTCAGCTCTGAAACGGAAAATAACGGAATTAAAAATACTTAAAACGGAATTTGCTATTTTCTGAAACGGAAAATCATCACCCCTATGCATGGTGTGAGTTAAGGTCTATATTTCCCTTTAGAGGAGGTGAAAGGGGCAGGGGAAGATCTGTCATTAAGTTGTATAATTAAGTGCTGTTAATTCCGTATTTGTTAAGCGCTTAGAAATATTGCTTAGTTGTTACCTAGTGCTACAGTAAACAACCCGTAATAAAAATAACATAATTACTACTGAAAATATATCCTTATCTCTAGGTTAGTGATGATGGTTCAAGCAGCAGTTGTTCTCTAGAGGTCGTCAATCTAGATACAGAGGTTGTGGCTTTTACTAACCGAAGATCATCAGAACGCTCAGTTTCACCAACCTTAGGTAAATAAATACTTAGTTTACGCAACTTTTAGTAACAGAATGAGAATAACACATGAAACAATTTTATGGAATACAAGTTACTTTAGAAGTTTATTTCTGGTGACATTTCGACAAGGGTTCTCTCGTCTTAATCATTCTTTGCTCATCGAAGCGTCACCAGAAATAAACTTCTACTTGTGAAATGTTTATGATTAAACAGGCATTATGCAAAAGCTAAATCTGCCTATGGGAAGTCTTTCTTTAGGCCTGAAATGTTATCTAGATTATTAATTAGACATTTATTAACATAAGTCGATCTGATTTTAAGCAATTTGATTAAAACACAGATCCAATTTCGTTTCGTTTTTATAGTTCAACATTTCAATTTTACTTGTCTTTACTACACTTGGATCTGGAAGCGTTGTTATTTAACTCGTGTTCTGCTTGAAATGAGGGGTCAGCCAATCAAATGGTCTGTCGAATCGAGCGTTTGACCTTTTTTGCAAGGAACTGTGGGTAGACATTAGCGGCAATAGAAATCAAAACAAAGCAAAAGTAGATAAAAAATACATGGCAGTCGCTAATTGGTTAATCGAATGACTGACGTAATCGGGTCAAATGTCGCTTGCTTGGTACCTGACGTCATAGAACGTGAACTCCCACTATAACTTGTTAGATCTACATGTAGTGTAGGCCATCGAAAGTATAAAAAACGGAACGAAATATAGATCTGTATTTGAATTAGATTGGATTTTAAGTAGATTAGAATGGTTTGACCATTTAATGATTTAATTTAATAATGGTGATTCGAGGTTAAAAGTCAAGCAACAAGTACGGTGGTTACAATCAATGCACACATATTGTCAAACCTTCAAAGGCTAATATCTTCGCTCAGAATAAAGTAATTTGAATTAAAATTTTGCATTATCTATTTTTGAACTATTATAGCAAGAACAACCAGCTCTTTCTAAATCTTCCATAATGCATCTTTAATTCTTGATGTTGTTAAGTTCAACTATTAACAAACCAGGCCATAAAACACCTGTCACAGACAAAGTCAGCCATTGTCATGTACATGTACCACCCCTCTAGTGCCTTTCATTTTGTCTGGCTTATATTTTTGCTGTAATAGTAATATATGTAGAGCCCAGGGGAAGAGCGATCTAAGTCACCTTTTCCAGTTAATGGTGCTATCTGGTAGCTTTCTGTTGAACAATCGATTTCAGGTAAAAACAATTTAAGTCTCCTTGAACCAGGGCCCTTCTGCAATGGCTTCCCGATCGAGATTGATCTAAATCCACAGCGTCCCAGTCGCATAAAGCATTCTCTTCCATCAGGTTTCAAAGTTTGTTTTGCATTGTATGTGAAATGACAAAATTTTTACTTAGATCGTTCGTTCTTCCCCTGGACTCTTCATATTTAAAACATGTTCTGTACATTGTTTAAAATATAAGGTCTCAGAAAAGTAAATATCTATTTTCTAGCAGGGGATAATGAATCTAAAAAGTCAGAACCAACAATTGAATCTGGTGAAAATTCGAATACCGCTAAAACAAGTTTACCAGAAAGTCTAGATCATCCAGATAGCTTATGCTCTGATGATAGGCTTAGTGAAGCCGATGCTGCAGCAATAATGGCGGACATTGCTCACGTATCGAGCATGGGACCTGTTATTGAAGAAGGACTTCTAGATGGTAGCACCGGGAGTTCGATGTCAAGTATTGCCCAGTTAAAAGATGAAGAAGAGTCATCGACCAGCAGTCGATCAAGTTTCACAGCGTTAAAACCTGATTCTGATGATGAAAAAGGTATTCAGGAGTTATCTTCCTTGATTAGTTCTTCCAACAACCCGACGTCAAACGTTGAAGAACAACAAACAGGGTAGGTATAATGGATTTATTTTGAATTCTGAATGTCCAGGAGTCTTTTACTTGCACGCCAATGTGTACACAGGTCTTCAGTTGTTTGTCTAATCCGTGCGACTATACACTGTTTGCCAGTTGGAATTCGAAATCAGAGTAGGCCATAGCGCAGCTGTCCAGGCCATATTTCCATCACTGTATGGTGTATGCCTGTCTTCATTAGGCCATAGCTCTGCTGTCTGGGCACAATTATCCTTATAGCACACTGTATTTGGTATGCCTGTTTTCATGAGGCCATAGCACAATTTCCCCTCATAGCACACTGTATGGTGTAATTCCTATGTTCAATAGGACATTTCGTTTTTTTGTGTGGTAAATTGACTCAATATCGGTTGTAGTAAGTGTCTTATTAACTGTGTGAGTGTATCAGGCATACATGTACTGTACGCTTCCACTAAAGCTGATATTGCAGACAAGATTCTTGTCTTGCATAGGTAGGAGACGGGCGGGTAGGCGTTTAACAGACCTTATCGCTTCCATTTTTTTACAAGTAATATTGTTTTATTTATGTAGGGAAGTAGTAATGGAAGCCGTTGTTGGACTGAGTGGTTTAAGTGAGAAGAATATTTCTGATGTTTCCGACAACAACAGTGATACAGGTACCAGGTGTTCTAAAAATATGCCCAAGTGAATTATTAAAATAAAAATAAAACCATATGTTACTCCAGAAATGACCTAGCGTGTGTCAAGTAGACATTAGACCTCCTTTCTCTACATGTATCTCTCTCCAGGGGATTTGGGTGGCCGAATGGTTTTATGCATGCGCTTTTAAATCATAGGTCTGTCATTGAGTCACATGGAGTGGTTTTGATTCACCCGCTTGTACGTGACAAGAAGTATGGTCGCCTGTGTCCAATGTCAGGGTTTTTCTTTGGGTTCTCCGGTTTCCTCCTACTGCTAAAGACCGATACGCACAAACGCATTATTGAAATAAAATTGAAGCATATGTTAGTTCCGAAGTGGCCTAATATTGAGTGAACGGTAAACCCCATTTCTCTCTCTCTCTAGTTGATTTGTCTTACGTGTGCTTCTTGTTTTTATCTAGATTCTGATTTTATACGGCTTGAAGTATCAGAAAGTCTGGATGTTGACAACCTGTCATCTGATCAGTCAGCCATGACGTCTTCATCCGTCAGTTCAAGATTTAGTTTTATGAGTCGAGAAAATTCTCCACCTGAACCAGATCATGTTGACGGTAAGAATATTTTACGATTATAACTGCTGCCCTTTTCATGTATGCAAGGGGTTTCGGGTGATTGAGTGGTTTAGCATGTGCATCACAAAGCACGTCATTGAATCAAATGTGTGTGGGGTGGATAGGGGTATTGTCGAGTGGTGAGAATATATTAGATTATGACCGTTGCCTTTTTTCATGTATATCGGGTTGGGAGTGGTTGAGTGGTTTAGTGCATGAACTAGCAGCGGCTGTAGATCATAAGGCCTGTCATTGAATGAAATGTATTGTGGGGTTGGGAACAAGTGGCTTAACATGCATGCTTTAGATCATAAGGCCTGTCATTAAATCAAATGTATGAGTGACTTAACGAGCACCCTTTAAAACATAGAGTCTGTGATTGATTCCCATCCAAATTACGCAGTCCCTCTGTACTGCACCTCTGACAACAGTGGCATAGGTGACTTTCTCAGCAGACATTTAGAGCTCTATGTTCATGTAACAGGTCCGGGGCCTGTTTCACGAAATCTTAACTAAAGATAAAATCCAAATTTTAGTAGCTACTTCAATATTGATTGGCTAAGCACTAAAATCTATCTAATATTAGCCAATCAAATTACTAAAATTTGGATTTTATCTTAGTTAAAATTTTGTGAAACAGGCCCCTGTACTCAATGAACCACTGTGGCTGTCCTACAGATAGAAAAGAGAGAGTAGAAGTACGAAATTGAGGACTCCCAATAATATAAAATCTTTTTTACCCATTCAGTCACAATTTTCAATGTTATTCATGTTTTATCTAGATGTTGAAGTTCCAGATATCCCTGTTGAACAGCCAGCACCAGATAATCAAGATGGTGATATCCATGGTAACGAGGATCATCAACATGAGGAGGAGGAGGATCAGGAAGATGATGACCATGATGATGATCACCATGGTGACATACCAGCAGAAATTGAAGAAATACAGGATGCAAGCACGGAATCAGAAATCGATGATGAGGAAAACGCTAGGATCGAAAGTGATCAAAGTGATGTTAGTTCTATTCCTGCGTTAGATGATGACATGTCGTTTGTCAATGACATCGGTGATCTTCCCTTAGTGGCAGGTGATGTCGCACGGCAGTATGTTCACAATCCTAATCGTCATCTCAATTTAAAGTTAGATATTTTCGCTATACTAATGTTTACTATTGTGGTGGGACTCGGCATCGGACATTATATTGGTAAGTGAAATTAAACATATTTATCTTCTGATACAGGAAAACTGTTATAGTATAGATATGCAAAGTAATGAGAAAGGGGGAGGGGCAACAGCAACACTCCCTTAAAAAAGTAGCAGAGGCTGGACGGACAGTGCCGGCGGAGAGAGTAGACATAAATAGATTTATAAAAATCACCGCTCAACAATAGTACTGACAGATTTTAAGTAGAAATGAGAGGTGCTTTATTCTTCATAATGTTTTGGATGATACAACCCTTTTTCAAATGACAACAATAAATAATCCCGTCCCACCTTTATATATACAATATTAGTGACGTCACAGGATTATAAAATTTATAAGATGTTCAAATAATGATATCGAAAGATTTACTTTCCAAATCCAACAATGCCAACAAGAAAATTTCTACGTCAGACGGAATGAACCTGCCCGTTGTAATCTATACCCAGATTTATGTATGTTTATAGATTTATGATATGAACTTTCAACTGATAAAAGAAATTGATATCCGATAAAAATTTCAACGTTAAACCACTTGTTTTCTATTTTTGGTTTAAACAATATTTTATTTCTATTTTATCATGATTATTTACAATACAGATATTGTGGATCTGAAAACAAGCCATAGCTTATATAAATTCATCTCCATTTTCTATTTTTGATTGGTCGATAAAAATAGGAAATTTATCAAGGGACGGATAATTTGACCAAGTGTCTCACCCGTAAAGGGACCCCGGGGTTAGTGGTGTAAAACGGATCGATACCACAGGGATATTAGGATGGCATTAAACCTAACAGCTCTTACGTTTGATTTATATACATTGTTTAAGACTTGATTTTCAATAATTTCCGATAATTACTGCAAGAGTTATGGACCTTGCTCACTCTGAAATAAATGCTCTTAGAGACCTAATCGTCTGTTTGTCTTTAGATTCATACATAGTGTTTAAGATCATGAGGAGAAAAAAGCCTATGGATTTTCAGTGATGTTCAATAACTTGAACAGCTACATGTAAATTGTAATGATATCTGATAATTACTTTCATGGGTTGCTACCCTTAATCAGATATTAGTGTCTTGTAAATGCTTTCTATACTGACAGAATCTGCAACAACCGTTGTTGACTGGCCGGATATCTTAGCTGCTGTGGGCGTATGTTCTTAAAAAATTGTCATATAAGAAAAATAAATGTGGATTTTTTGTTTGTTTTATTCAGCCACGTTTGATGAGATAGATGCATATGATTCTATTCACAACTCAATGAAGAATATGATATCTCAATGTGAAGGTCAGAGGTTTGAACAGACACGAACATTGAACAATCTAAATAAGGTTGGTATTACCTCACTCTATCAACCCCTAATGAAGACCTTAAGACATCAGTATTTGCTATGACTGTCAGACAGGGATTGGGGGTCCGAATGGTTTAACACATTATGACAAGGTTTGTCATTGAGTCAAGGGGTGTGGTTTCTATTCCCCGCTTGTTCGAGACAAGGCGTTGGGTCGGGTTGCCAGTCCAATCTTTTGTGTTTTCTCTGGATCCTCTGGTTACTTCACTCGGCTCAAGAAGCCTAAGTGCAAGCAAATAACTTAAATAAAATTGAACCATGTGTTTGTCCAGAAATGTCATAGATTGTGTTGAGTGGAGATTAAACTCTCTCTCTCTCTCTCTCTCTCTCTCTCTCTCTTCAGATATAATGGGGGAGGGGCCTAAGTATATTATTACTGGTAGATAGTAATTGTACCTTTTCAGGAATTTAATACTAATTTGTGGTTGCTTGGAAACAAATTTGACTAGTTTTTGGTATAGAAGGACCAAGTAGCTTGATGACTGGGTCTACTTTTACCTTTATTTATGGACTTTTGTTTGTTTTATTTTAGGAATATGATCTATTGATGCAGAAATTCCATCAGAGTCGCAGGGATTTAGAAAGACTTCGATTACAAAACGCAGCCCTTTATAAAGAAATAGACTCAAAAAACACTGACAAGGAAAAGGCAGAGGAAAAGGAAACTTTGAGGCTTTATTTGAAAAAACAAATCAACCAATTAGAAACAGAGAACCAGGAATTGAAGCAAGCGATTGGTCGATTGAAATACATGATCCATCCAGCCAATGACATATCAGAAACCAGTCAACCTCAGTTCGTTAAGAAGGAATCATGTGATCGATCTGTTGTTAAAGTCCCGGTAGAGAAAGAATCGCATACATCAGACTTTTCATTAGACGATTTAGAATCGATGCACGATGCAGCTGCGTTAGATAATTTGTTGCTGAAACAGGAAATTGGGAAGTTGAGGTATACCAAACATCCCGGGAATCGGGAACATGTTGAAGATGAATCAGATCAACCCATTCCGGGAGATAAAGAATGTATGAAGTCAGATAGTTGCGATCCTTTAGAATCAATCCTTGATGTTGCAGATAAAACCGATCAACCCGTAAATCATGAGAATGAGGGACCAGCAGATTTAAGATTGGGTAAGTTACGGTGTTGGGTAGACGAGGAGTTTAACTACAAATCATCAGCCCTGTTATCTGTGCTGCTGAATCTCGCAGTGTGCATTTACTCTGGGTTACTCCCAATTCCTAAAAACCCTAGGCCGAAGCAAGTTATTGAAATTAACAATTATGAGCCTATTAGTCATATCTAAAAGTCAGTCCAATGAATAAGCATGCCAAGTTTAATGTCGGACATCTGCGAATTGATGGAGTCTATTTTTTTTACCTGAAATGAACTGGTTAGTGTCAAGCACACACTAAGCCCCATTGGCCTCCATCTCCCTCTCTTTCCCTGTCATTAAGTCAGCTGGCGTGGTTTCGATTTCCCGGTTGTATGTGACAAGGAGTAGGGTCGCCTGTTTAACTTCGTGGGTTTTCTCTGGGTCCTCCAGTTTCCCCCCACTGCTAAAGACCCTTATGTGCAAGCTAATTATTAAAATAAAATTGAACCATATGTTAGTCCGGAAATGACCTTGTTTGTGCCGAGTGGACATTAAACCCTCCCCCTCTCTCTCTCTCTCTCTCTCTCTCTCTCTCTCTCTCGTGGGTTTTCTCTGGGTCCTCCGGTTTCCTCCCACTGCTAAAGACTCCTACGCACAAGCAAATTATTGAAATAAAATTGAACCATTTGTTAGCCCGGAAATGGCCTTGTTTGTATCGAGTGGACATTAAACCCCATCTTTCTCTCTCTCTCTCTCCTTATGTCATTAGTGCAGGACAGAGGGCCGACCTAGTAAAAGTGTCTTGAACCCATTTAAAATTCCATAAAGAGCAGATTAAATCGGTGCTGTCTTGGCAATATTCCCCCCACAGTACACTTCGACCTGTCTTCATTAGCCCAGTGGTTGCAGAAAAGTAGTACCTGAAACCTCAATTTATTTTTTTTTTTCAATTTTCAGATGATTTGTGGGTTCAAAATAAAGATTTAATCAAGGTGAGGAATGAACTAGAGGAAAAGAAAATAGAACTTCAACAATTTCAGGAGAAATATGAAACGTTGGAATCACAGACTGTCATCAACTCAACAAACTGTCTGACGTATTTACTCACAAATCTCAGTATGGCTGACATCATATCACAGCTAGACTCGGACATGCTCGACAAGTTCCTTAATGTTTCATTTTTCATAGCGAACGACGTGAAAGGATCCGTGACAGATTTTACGACAATAATTCTAGAAGAGATGACAAAATCAGGTGAAGATTTTTTTGACTCGATAAGCGAGGTCAAGAAAACTTTTGAAAAAACTGCAGAAACAGGTGATGGTTTGGGCGAAAAGGAAATGAATCAGTCAGAAACAGAGAATTCCAACAACACAGAAGAAAGGAACAGTAAATCGGCTCCAAACGTTAAATGGTCAGAAAACATCAAAGAGATCATGAATAAAACGCGTAATAAAATGACGAATGTCAGCCAACAGATCAAAGATACGTGGTTACAGGTTAAAAATCTCTCTGTTAAATTCTTGACCCAACACGAACCAGCTGTTTCAAACACTCTCAACAAAATAACCGATAGAGTGGTGAATTTTGGGCAGAAAATTAAAAATAAAATTCAAAGAAAGGTCAAAAGATGGTACAGAATGTCTAAAAAACAACCAAATCCCAGCAGAAGTCCGTCAAAGAAGTACGTAAAGGAAAATGTTCGAAAGACAGAAAAGCAGAAGCGTGAAGAGCAGTATACAAAAACTCCTAGTGAAAAGAACCACAAAAATTCCACAAAGAAAGATAAAAAACAACAAAAGAAAAACAATGAAAGGCTTAGGAAAGATGAGAGACAACGAATTAAAATTCTTCAAAAACAACAGAAGGAATTTGCTAAAGCAAAAAACAAATCATTGAAAAAATTCAAAAAATTTCAAAACAAAATTTTAAAGATAAATGAAAAACATTTTAAAAAAATGAACAGTGATTCTAAGTCTTCCTTATTAGGTTATGTCAGGGAAACAAGCAGACTTCTGATTGGTTTAGAGTTAGATGGGGATGTTACACTGTGGTTTGATTGTCAGATGCTGTTTTGGAGTAATCAGGTTGATATGGAAACGCTAAAAAAGGAGTCGATAGTGCAATGCGAAGACAGACTGCAGTCATGGCAGACAGAAATGCTGGAGGACAAGATAGTAGAACAAGATGGCTTAGGGATGGAGGCAGATATCCCAGAATCCAAAGAGAGTTTCCATGGAAACAATGGTAACCATGGTGATGTTAAAGATAATGATCACACTGAACAAGATCTACATGAGGTAAATGATGATGGTGACGACAACGGTGAAGATGATTGGTATGAAAAGCTTGAAACGTATCCAGAACCTCGACCTGATTGGTTATTTAAAAGAGCACATAATCGTGAGGATATCCGAAAACAGGAAAGTCAGCCTGATTGGATTTTCGATAGAGCTAACCACCGTAAAGATATTAGGCAGCATGAAAGTGAACCAGATTGGGTTTTCGATAGAGCGCATCATCGTGAAGATATTAGGCAGCATGAAAGTGAACCAGATTGGGTTTTCGATAGAGCGCATCATCGTGAAAATCTCAGACAGCAGGAAACTGAACCAGATTGGATTTTCAATCAAGCTCACCACCGCAAAAATAGGCGAGACCACCATAGGGAATCTGACTGGATGTTTGATCAAGCTAATAATCGTAAAGAGAAGCGAGAGTATAGACAACGTCATCCAGCCACATTTCGACCAAATACACGAAGTGATCATTTTTTTGATGGAGAAGTTGATTTTGATCTTTTCTAATTGGTGCTTTTTGATCTAGCAAATTATATTTACCTATATTCCTGTTCAATTTAATAATAATAATAAGTCTACCAATTTAATTTCTCTTAAAATATTTAAATTGTTTAAAGTCTGAACGTCAATTGAGTATTTTAAATCCCTTGTAAATTACAATATTTTGACAGTTAAATCTCTAAAAGGAAGATCAGCCCAAAGATGGGTAAATTCTGTTCAGTATTTGCAAAGTCATGATAATTTGAAAAATTGAAAGTATTCTACATCCTCTGCCGACGTTATAAATAATGGGATATGGTCTAAACAAGCCAGCGCCACTTATAGTTTTCACTAAAATATTTGGTAGGTCTCTTTTTTAATCTGATTTCGATTAATTTTAAATGATCAATGAGTATATTTAGGTGTGGATGAAGCCATGAAAAATTATACATTGTCAGAAAAATACAAATGATGATTTTGACTTTAAATATTATTATGGTCTCTCTTCTATTGGGCTAACCATGCAAATAATTGTTAATCACCAACAAGAATTCTGAGATTAGTTATTCAAGTTACATTCTATTGAAATGTTTCTCAAATGCTTTAATCCTTTTTTAGGCCAAATTACTTAATTTCTGTTTTCCGTATAATATCTAGATATTGAGGTTTAAGGTGACTTTTTGTTCGTTCTCTAGTAGTGATATTTTAGGCTTGCCCCATCTGTGTTAAAAGTTTGACTGGTGCTTTAATTTGTATAAATCAGGTTTTCGGTAATAGTTTTTGATATTTCCAATAGTCTTTAAAATGAATAGACAACTTTGATTTTTGTAACAAAATAACAACAAAAGTGTTGATTTAGTTCAATTAGTTGTGTTGATATGTTTTGTGAAGTGGGTATACATGAATGTCTATGTGTATACAGTATGTTCACAGATAGAACCAAAGGCTAAATTTGCGTTCAACTGCTATTAGTTTAGACTGGATAACTTGATCTAATATGTCACATTGGCTCCTATTTCACACCTTTTCTGATTTGCTTGATAAGAGACTATAGTATCCGCATCAATTTGTGATCTAATAAGTAACAATCACTGCTACTGATATCTATATACATGTACAGACGTCAGAATTCCTTTCATTAACACTATAGTATCTTCGTCAAAATGCTGCATAGTAATTGAGTATCCATAAAATTCTACTTTCAATTACTAAATTCCTATGAAAGAAGTTAGGAAAAAGATGCATGGCAATTATTTCTTGCTTTATAGTATTTTCATCATTAGTGATTGATTTAAAAAGTTTCTATTAACCGTTATGTACTGTAAAGTACCTTTTTACGTTTGATATTCTTTATAAAGATCAAAGGACCGAGTCAGACTAGTGAATTTATCTTGAGGTTTTACAAATCCTTTCATGTAAACGGAACTATATGTCCTATATGTTAAAGATTTCTTAGCCCAGTTGGAGCAGAATAGTAGGACGTTAAATCCAATTTCATTTCATTTCTTATCCTATTGAAAAATCCCAAAGTATGGTACATACCGTATTCAAATAAGATTTATCCTACAAACTGACCTGGGGATCACGTGGCTAAGTGGGTAAGGCGCTGGCTCGCTAGCCTGGAGGTCGGGTGTTCGATCCCTGCATTGGCCGAGAAAGTTCATCCAGATTTTCCGGCATGGTTCTCCCTTGTCAGTGATGCAGGATGGAGGGGCTGACAAAGAAAGCTGTCTAGTCGTTCGGATGGGACGAAAACCGAGGTCCCGTGTACACATTGGCGTGCACGTAAAAGATCCCTTGGCAGTTGGAATTCGATATAAGAGTAGGCCGTAGTGCCGCTGTCTGGGCAAAATTTCCCTCATAGGACACTGTATGGCGTATGCCCGTCTTCATTAGCCCAGGTTAAGAGAAGAACAGTAGGACGTTAAACTCCATTTCATTTCATTTCATTTCACAAACTGACCAATGCGTCAAACTCAATCAGGACAACACCGAGAACAATAACCTACAGGGGTTATCCATTTAAACATGTCCTAGGATTTGTCTTAATGAATCAATTTGTCCAATCAATTTGTCTTATAGGTTAAAGGTTGTTGGGCACCTGATAGAAGAAGTCTCATTCAAGTAAGAATTGTGCTACAAATGGATTAGCACTTGTTCTAAAATCTATTGACGGGGAACTCGGCCAAGAATGACCTATAGGACCTGTCTTTCAAGACTTCTCCAAGGATTTGGCTTAAAGGATCAATCCACTAGTGTAACTTAGCCTTAAAGGATCAATCCACTAGTGGGAATCTGTCTTAAAGGATCAATCCACTAGTGGGACTCTGTCTTAAAGGATCAATCCACTAGTGGGACTCTGTCTTAAAGGATCAATCCACTAGTGGGACTCTGTCTTAAAGGATCAATCCACAAGTGGGAATCTGACAGTTCCTTAAGGACTCTTCCCCAAGCCCCCTTCCATATTTTCATGAGTGTATAACTGTAGATAGATTAATAAAAACTAAGATGTATCTAATTTTGTGATAATTAAAACTTGTGATTTCTTTTAATGTACATATAAAATAATATATCTATGGTTAATTGTTAAATATATGTAAATAATCTGATAACTGTGTGGATTTTGACAACATTTTATATTGATGTGATTAAAACAAGAGTTGTTTCCCTTAGACTGTAGCACCCTGGAAAGCTAAAGGGGGTTAACCTTGATAAAACAATGCATATTATCCGGTTGGTTTAAAATGCCTGCTTGCGCATTGCTTTCTATATCATATATAGACCTGATGTATATACACATAGCGCTCAGAGTGCATTAGTTTTTAAGGTCGCGGTCAGGTAGTCTTTTTAAACCTATTAGTTAGGCTATAGTCTATTTGTATGTCCTCAAACTACTAGTAATTCTCTCCTCAGTGAATTCAGTTCTACCAATCTGATTAAAACACAGATACTTTCGTTTTTATAGTTCAAAATTTCGTGTTACTTGTCATGTAGTGTAGGCCATCAAACGTATAAAAAAAACGAAACGAAATATAGATCTGTATATTAATCAGATTGCAGTTCTACAGGCTATTGCACAATTTTATTTTTTTCGGTTGTTGGGGGGGGGGGGGGGGGATTTCCCTATTATATAAATGTTTACTTTCTGATGTCCTTCCGCTTCAAAATTACGAATATGCACCAAAACCATTTGATTATAATCCCACAAGTTAACACTTATTGCAACAAGGTTGCTGGTGAGTTAGGGTGGTAAAATTGACATAACTGAAGTCAGGAGGATGAATTACTAGTCTGAAACCTATATCAAATGTGAATATTGTATTATTGTATGAATTAGGTAGGAGTTAATTAAGTAAGCAGCAGGAATGGATAGACAAGACTATTTCTTGTAAAGGCCTATATATACATGTATTTATTTTCAACAAAAAAAGTAAGGGTAATCTCTGGGCTAATTTTAGGCTAAAATAGACTATTTCTTATATGTATATATGTAAACAATTTCTAATAACTACGTTTTGTTCAGGTGCCAAACCTCCATGTTTTTTTCAATACCAGTATTGGATTTATTTATTTATCCTGCTTCGTTTTACAAAAAATAAATCTTGCCAAAGATAAACCTACTGACCCGACACGATTCTACTGTGAAATATCTGACTACTTACTTCCTTTCATGGCCTTCTTGAGCATCAGTAAGATAACATCACAGTACAAATAGCTATCTATCGTGGACGGGCCAGGGACAGAGTCGGACTTTTTAGACTATTAAACGCTTGTCTGGTGGAGTTTATTTTGGGGGTGTGTGTTTGGGTTTGGAGGGTGGGGCTGCATAATTTACGCCTTCTCTGGACCTTTTATCCAGTTTCACAATCGTATTACAGATAATGGTATCAACTGTGTCGTAATTTTGGTTTAATGTTGTTATTGTTAGAAATGAATTTCTAATTAGTTTCTAAGTTCTGACATCATTAGTTGAAATGAAGTTCCAATAGCCTTAGTTGAAATGTTATTGATTCAAATGAAGTTCTAATATTATCAATGGAAAAGAAAATGGTATATCATTGATTGAAATGAAGCTCTGGTGTTATTAGTAGAAATGAAGCTCTAATAATGTTGGTTGAAAATAATTTCTAATATTATTATTGGTTGAGATGACTTGCCAAGAAATGTAAAACTACCAGCGCTTTGAGCAGCTTTGACCAGCTGATTTTGTCAGCGCTATATAAATATACACTACCGTTTATTGTTGTATGAGAGATGGTATGAGGCTTTGAGCGGCATTTAGCAAATGACACACGTAATAAACACAAAAGCATAATATGGAACACAATTGCTACTTTCATTAATGCGACGGTTCGTTGAGGGTTCTCTTGGCGCAACGTCGCTTTAATTAAAATGGTAATTGTGTTCCCTATAATGTTGTTATATTTATTAGCTGTCGATTTGTTTCATAGAACTTCAGTTGCATCGATTTCAGGGCATTTGTTAAGGAATATGAAGCACAGGGGCATTTGTTAAGGAATATGAAGCATAAGGACATAGAATGTCAGAAAGGGTCTCTCCCCCAGGACGCGAAGGAATAATTGCATTTTGGCACTGATTTTATAAAGGGCGGGGAAGATCACATATTAGAATATTTTATAAAGGGACGTAACCCGGTGGAAATATATTGAATGCAGGCATTTGGAATGTGTATCTGAGTATTTCTTATACTCTCGCAGTGTTTCGTTTGATAAGACCTAATCAATCTTTAAGGTATTTCTCGGGCAGTTGCTTCAGGAATATGAGCGTTTCCTTAAGAACAGAAATTCAGACTTAGCATGTACAACAATACCTAGATATTTATTTCACATGAACCAATGGTTCTTGTAAATTAGATTATTTAATTTAAAATGCTTATTTTCGTGTTAAAATTTGGTGTTAGGCTCTGCATACCATTAGATATCTCGACTCTGGTGTTTGAACCAAGAGTTCTCGTGAATTAAGTTTTGAAATTATAAGTTAAGATAATTGCACAAGTATGCTGTTATTTTTGAATAAATTATTTAATTTAAAAAGTTTATATTCATGTTAAAATTTGGTGTAAGAGATACATACCATTACATATTCCAACTCTGGTGTTTGAACCAAGAATTCTCGTAAATTAAGTATTGAAATTTAATAGTTGCACAAGTATGCTGTCATTTTTAAAATGCTTATTTTCATGTTAAAATTTGGTGTAAGGACCATTAGATATCCCCACTCTGGTGTTTGGTGTGACTCTGGGTATTTGGTGTGAGAAATATAATTTTGTTTGTTTACTTTTTTGTTTTTGTTTGTATTTTTTTCTCGTTTTTTAAAACCTTTTTTTTTAGTTTTGTTTGTTAATGGTTTTAATTTATTTAATCACGTATAGAAAGTGTAAGTATATAAAATAGTGCTATGTAAAATATAATAAATAAATGACTTATTATAGATGCGGAGATTTGTTTTCTTCATTAGGCTAACCGTCTTTAACCCAGAGGGAGCAGAGAACAGTATGATGCTAAATGCCATTTCATTTTCCTGTATAAATATAGAGACTGATTATTTAGACAGAGGTCGTCACTATCTATATTAACATACTTTAGAACCAATAATAATATATTCTATTATAATACAAAAAAAGTCAGAAAGAAGGAACAGGTGGTGGATATTACATATATTTCATTGGGCCATTTATATGGTGCAGACAGGTAGTACATTAAACCCCAGTTCTTTGGCCATTACTTGCCCTTTGAGTAGAAATATTGGCAAGGCGAAGAATTTGAGAAATATATTAAATTTGAACAGTTTTTGTTCATTATTTTTCGAGTTGTGACCCTTGTTTCACATTGAAGAATCTTGTAAGCGCTCTAACAGCTAATGTAATCAATCATCCAATCAGTGTGAAATTTATACGGATAATTTAAATTAATGAAACCAAGAAGATAATAAATTCCAATTGAGTTCTGTTAATTACTTCTGTAGTTACGAACGGTCATTGTTCCACTCTTTAGATCCTCGTGAATACCTTCCTAACGTTGCTGAAACTTGTGAATGCTTTAACCGCGAATGTACGAACCGAACAGTGCAAACAGTTGAGAATTTTAATCGAGTTCAACGGAGACTGTCTGGTGTGAAATGTCACGGAATAAATCAATTATTTATATTGTATATAATTACTGACGGGGTTTAGAAACAATAGACATTACCATCCTGCACACAGAGAACTATCTACTTTAGGAATAAATCTCTGCCCTGAATGGCGACCATATTAAAAATTAGTAAACCATTTGACAATGCGGTTCAACTCCGCGGTTTCACACCTGTCATAAAATCTTTATTAGTGGAAGCAGAATAAATACTTCTCAAATTCTCGAAGTACAACTGTCTGGACTGAAATCTTCGATTTAGGAATTAAAATGTCGGTCATCCGGCTTCGTGTCTAATTATAGACAGGGTAAGTTAAGTATGTAAACATTAATTAAGTATAACTAGTTTCATAATTGGGAATTTTATCTGCGATATTACTCGAGGTAAAATAATAGTAAGAATATTCTGATGTTTCTTACTCTTTACCTGGTCTCGGTAGTCGAGCTGCGTGGTATTTTGAGGGGCCGCGATAGTCGAGCTGTGTGGTATTTTGACGGGCCGCGATAGTCGAGCTGTGGGTATTTTGACGGATATCGGTAATCGAGCAGTGGGGTATTTTGGTGGGCCTCGGTAGTCGAGCGGTGGGGTATTTTGGCGGGCCTCGGTAGTCGAGCGGTGGGGAAATTTCACGGGCGTCGTAGTCGAGCGGTGTAGTATTTTCACAGGCTTAGGTAGTCGAGCGGTGGTGTATTTTGACGGACCTCGGTAGTCGAGCTGTGTGGTATTTTGACGCGCCGCGGTAGTCGAGTTATACATGTAGGGTATATTGACGAGCCGTGGTAGTCGAGCTGTGGAGTATTTTGACGGACCTCGGTAGTCGAGCTGTGGAGTATTTTGACGGACCTCGGTAGTCGAGCGGTGGGATATTTTGACGGGCCGCGGTAGCCGAGCTGTGGGGTATTTTGAATTTTGATGGACCTCGGTAGTCGAGCGGTGGGATATTTTGACGGGCCTCGGTAGTTGAGATGTGGGGTATTTTAGTCTTTTGGCTAGAATGTCCCGGGTTCTACTTCCGGTAAGGACTGGAAGAACCGCAGGATTTACAAAGCCAGGTATTTGTGGGGCCTGCGCGACCGACAGGAAAGTGTGTCTAGTAGTTCGGATGTCATTGCACACGTTACCATAGAAACGTATATTTATCTTATGTTAGTCTCCAAATACTGGAGTACCCTATTCCATTATAATGGCTGTTATAAAGGTGGGGTGTAGCGCTTCGAGTAGTTTCGATTCCAGGTGTGAGCGTATGCTTTCTAAACCTCGTCAATTTTCTCCGGTTTCTTCCCATATAAAAGATCCCTGCGCGTGCGCTGGGCATACTAAAATACAACATCGGTGTAAACGGACGTTAAACACTAATAGAAGAAGAATGTTGTGAACCTACAAACAGTTTTGATAATTTTCACGTCATATTCTGACCCTGACATTATATTCTTCACACAGTTTAAAAGATGAAGCTTATACCTTTTAACCAACGAAACGTCGGTTGTGGCTGTGCACAGAAAGTAAACCTATTATGATTTTTTGTGCACACAAATTAAGCCTATAAGACTTTCTGTGCACACAAATTAAGCCTATAAGACTTTTTATGCACACAAAATAAACCTCTATGACCATATCCGACTCTCTCTCTCTCTCTCTCTCTCTCTCTCGCACCTTTAATTAACCACATTCAAATAGTGTAACCGGAAGTCAGAATAATGAAATTGATGGACGTAGAATTAATGCAAGAAAGCTCCCGGGAAGTATTCAACCTGAACATCATAGAATTGCTTCGGGAAGATCTACGTACATGTAATATGATTCGATCACCCAAAGCTACAAGAAATAAATTGGACCGACTAGAATTAATATTGTAAGAAAGCGCCGGGAGAATGGAACTAAATTGAATATCGTAAAACTAATTCTCTAAGAATACGGTCGTGGTATCAATAGATTGGATATCTTCTAATTATTGTGAAACCTGTCAGGGTAAATTTGATATTTTAGAATTTATTTTGTGAAAGACATTTTGTGGGTAACCAGGGGCTAGAATATAATTACACCAGTCGTTCGTATAAGTTTAATTAAAGATAATGCACAATTAATGATAGCTGAAGATAGTTTTCATTTCGTTCATAAACTTGAGGCGAATGTCTTGAACATCTGAATCGGATAGGGGTACTGTTTATCCAAATATTTCATTCGGGACTCCTCGGTGTTTTATTTTTATGGTTTTCGATCACATTTGTCTATAATATGTCACAGTTATGTTTAGTATTCATCTGATACAAAAAATTCAGGCGATTTTCTACGAATTCGATTTCAATTAGAGTAGGCCGTAGCACAGCTGTCGGGGCAAAATTTCCCTTATAACACACTGTATGGCGTATACCCGCCTCCATTAAACAGCAATTCATTTCATTTTATCTGGGAAATCTCCTTCAATTTCGGTATTTTTATCTGGAATATAACCAGCAAGATATCCCCTTTAATTCAACAATATCACGATACCAACAGCAAGCGGGATATCCCCTTTAATTTATCCTGCGGCCATGTTATTAACTGTAATATAATATTACTAATAACCCGTGGGTTATCCCCTTTAATTCAACAAGCGGACATGTTATAATCACGATACCAACAGCAAGCGGGATACCCCCTTTAATTTATCGTGCGGCCATGTTATAAACTATAAGATAATATTACCAATAACCCGTGGGATATCCCCTTTAATTCAACAAGCGGCCATGTTATTAACTGTAATATGATAATACCAACAGCCAGTGATTATTACCCGTCCTGCTCTCTATAATTACCGGATATATGTTTAATAACATGTCACGCGCCTGCAAGCTAATTTCCGAAGACATCCGACCATTTTGTTCTGAGTCTCGAGAAGAATGAACTCGGTATGACTGAAAATATCCTACCGTCATTTCCTCGTCAATTAGACCCCAGGAATACGTGTCACCATATTTCCGTGTTGGGTTTTGTTCCTGGCATATTGCAATGGCGACTTGGTTTATCTGCTGAAGGCGAGATCAATTAGTACCCGACATCATATCCGCACTGAACAAGCTGTAGCGTCTATTTTATTGACAGAAAGTTCCAGAATATTTTAATAAACTTGGACAAGAATATTCTGTCAAGATACCAGAAATCTGACCTAACCGTGATGTGATCGAAAAAATGAAAATTAACGGTCTACTTTTTGTACCAACTGTGCTATTAAATGAAGACGGGCATACGCCATGCGGTGTGCTATGCGGGGGACATTTTTCCCGGACAGGGGAGTTTACGTATACTCTGCATTGGTGTTTGTCCCTTCAAAACGACTGGACGTTTATCGTTCCATATATGAGGTCTGTCATTGAATCAAGTGGCGTGGTTTCGAATCACCTCGTGTATGCGACAAGGAGGGAGTAGGATTGCATGTCCAACCTCGTGGGTTTTCTCCAGTTCCTCTTAAATTATTGAAATACAATTGAACCATATGTTTTTCTTTCTCCTTTTCAGTTCTGCTTCTAATAATCTAGTGATATAGGCTAGCCTATAATGTCGTTCCCTAAGTAGCCATCGTAGACCCAAAACTATGATTGGCTTGTAACCGAGGAGTGGTAACTAAGAAGTAAAACTGGCGGACATGTTTCTGACATAGGGAGTTGGTAACTAAGGAGTTAAGACGTGTTCTATTTAATCTATCGAGTAAAAGTGGCGGCCATTTTTCTATTTGTTACAACATAATGATGTCAATATTCAACTAACCTTCATAAACACTGGTCGTTTTATTCTCATCACGAACTGCAACAAACTATACACACACATCGTCTTTTTTATACAAAAAATATGAAAAAAGGACATTGGAAGATAAAACTTGACAAACTTTACCAATATGTTCGCCATCTCTAACACGTTTCGTTGTCGAGCCATTCTATTTGAAATTAAAGAGGAGCGTGGTATATGATATTATCACAGTAATTATGTTTTTAGTGTGGCAATTTCACAAAGGTCACTGAAAACAGTGTAGGTTTTAAAGCCTATGTGCGTTATTGGGTTTTTTTTTCAACAGTATCAAATTGATTATTTAACATGAATTAAAGGTAGATAATCGCCCGACCGACTCGGATTCATTCGGAATGAAAACGTTTTAAAATTAAGCCAATAACACATCAAGTCAGAATGAAATAAAGAGAATTTCAGATAATCAGTCAAGAAGTAGTTAGATAGCACGTAGAGTAGATATCAATCTGATTAAAACACAGATCTTATTTCGTTTCGTTTTTTTATGGTTCAAAATTTCGTTTTACTTGTGTTTACTACACTA